CTCCCTGTCAGTTATCTCTTTGTATGGGTTTGGCGTTTGCTATTAAAATTAAAAACGCTGGAAGTTTAGTCAACCAGCAATAACATTGGTTGTGATATCGTAGTTTCGGCTGCAATTAAATCAAACAGAAATGTCCTCAAATATCATTATCGAAGGTAGCGCATCTTCAAGACTTCACAGACGGTCAGCAGATGACTGGCTGAGTAATCCGTAAAACAAGGAAAGCCAAGAAAATACGCATCATTAAGTTCCTGATATAATCTTAGGTAATAACAACCTTGTTTTACGTTCACCTTGGAAAAAGTACTCTATTCGCATAAACTCGAAAATTCTAAAGGGCTGTAGTAAAACGGAACCACTCCTAGGCATCTGGAATTGGCTTCAGTTTGCTCACAAGTGAATTCATTCGAGTAATAAACTCTCGTTGATCGTGTAAGTGAGGGTAGCGTCTCCTCTCTTCCAGTATGCGAACGGCATTCTCTTGATTTTACAGCCCTTGATGGTCAAATTTAAAGACTGATTGAAACTAACATGGCTACGTACATTTCAAGTCTTGTCACTGCAAGGTTTCCCATTGTATAAGTTGCAGCCTTAATGCATGTAGCTTTCTACAAGTCTCCTTGCACCAACGGGGTTCTGTGAGCACTGCAAATAAACAAATCTAAAAATGCTTTTGCTATCTTAAATACGGGCGAAGAGCCTACGACGTCATGGATTTTATCGGATTCTGAGTCAACCAGAACTCAGAGGGAAAATTTTATTCTGCCAGTAGCTAGGTTAACGACTGTTTCCCATGCCGAATGATAGTGCATTAAAAGCATTTTGACAATTACTACAACTCTAAACGCTTTTAGTTTATTTTTGCTGTTAAAATGCACCCTCTTTGCATGTTGGGAAAAGAACTAAAATGAATCCTGGAAACTCAGTATAGGAAGTTTGTCCAAATTATACTGAAGCGATGATTTGATGATACCATTCAACTTCAAACGCTCAATTCATCCCACGGATCTGCTATTGGCATCATTTTGGCTGTATAAAACGCTATATTATCAAGTGTCATTTATTTTCGAAAACCAAATTATCTTCTTGTCAAGCGGTCTGAATTCGGCTAATTACGTCTAGAAGCAAACACAGATTTGAAGACGGTGATTCTAAAGTTATTGCTTAATTAAAAGAACACAATTCCTTTAGAATAACAGAAAACTGTGGGGTGAAGAACCCCACTCTACGGTCGGTAGACTGTCATGCGGGAATGGTAAATGTGGGGATTTACGGATGGGACAGCATGCCAGGCAGTAAGCTGACGAAATGCAAGAAAACGCGGAACTCGTTTGGATTTCTTCCGAAAGTCGTATGGTACGCCTTCTCATGGTAACGGAAATGAGCGCGTTAATTAAAAAACAAAAAGAAAGCTGATTTTCAAAGATAACGTAGTTTGAGTGGTTTGAGGTCATGGGAAGTAATTGTTGTTGGGAGTATGTCTGCAACGAACTGCAAATGGATTTCAAGATAAAACCCCATATGATACGGTCCCCAGTCTGTCGACAGTTAAGTTG